GGTTTTTGTTAATGTTTTGTTCTGCTTGCTTGCTCCCTGAGTGAAGCTCTAAAAATAACACAAAGTCCATAATTATGGTTTACACCTAAACCCTACTCCTCATATTCTCCTGCTTAACACCTGTGCTGGTGTGTGTGTGTGTGTGTGTGTGTGTGTGTGTGTGTGTGTGTGTGTGTGTGTGTGTGTGTGTGTGTGTGTGTGTGTGTGATTTTACACAGGACCACAGTCTGTTATGCACATCAAACCCATTGGCCTTTCAACTCTATGGAAACTTTGGCAGATGTCATGAAGTTGTGGCCTTTAGTAACAATCGGCAGTTTATTTATGGCGTAACTATTGTGTCATGTAAGGTGTGGCACTGATGGTCACCTCTCATAATTCTTCTGAATGCCTCGACAGTAAATTAGACAGCACATCTTGAAACAAGGTTAACGTTGTGTTTCAATTTAGATAGCTCCCTTTGTATATGGCATGTCGTACACTGTTAACACACATGCAGTGTGTGAATATCAACAGGGTTGGCTCTCTAATCACACACTAGTGCTGTGCCCTCACTGGAAGTGACAATAGCTGTTAGCGAGCTAGACTGCTAGCTAGCAACAATCGTACGCAATACCAAAACATAGCAGACTGCTCAATAAACCCTATAAAATGAACGTTGGCTTCTTTTTGGCACCAGTATAGTCAGTGTAGGGGGAAGCGCTATCTTTGGGTGTTGCGCAACGCCTACAATTGTCACACAGCGCTGCGCTCAAAATTCTGATAAGTGGTAATTATATATTTTTTTTAAAGTAACTAGTCCACACCTTTTTGAATGTTATGAGTGGTACATCCGGGTACTCATAGTGCACTGCACTTTGCCATACTTCGCATTGGGACGTCAGTGTTTCCCACAGATCTGAAATATACTTGGGGGGGGTGGTGGTAGCGGGGGGGGGGGGGGGGGGGGGGGGGGGGGGTTGAGGTGACGTGCAACAACATTAACATTGACCTTTCTGTTGGTCGCTTGTTAGCAGACGCTTCACGCGATGGCAGAGCGAACAGGTACAGGCAGGGCCTATAATGATAGCCCTATAGTTTAAATCTACTACCCACACATATGGAAATGGGTTACTATTTCAAAAAATAAATGTATTTATAAATGTATTTAGGAACCTATCCATGTGATTTTTAGTGGGGGTCGACCTCAAATCCTCTAGGGGGGTCCAGGGGCATGCCCCCCCGGTAAGATTTTATTTTGGAGTTAAATGCATCAATCTGGTGCATTTTGAGGGGGAAATAAAGAGACTAGATCTATGGAAACACCTATATTAAACAGAACTGTATACATTTCCATAATCATAAAATCATGGCAATAACCAATAACATACCATTTCCAATATGAAAAAAACACTGAAACTTGTTTATTAATTTATTTTTGGTTCATTTATAGTTGTGAGTGTGTCTGTGCTCCTGAATCAGCCTCTCCTGTCTCCCTCATCTCCCCCTGCTCCTCTTTGAGGCAGCAGCAAAGACTAGTTTTCTCTCAACAAGTTTTAAAAGTGTATCTTGCCTTTTTTCACCTAGTTAACTTTTTATTTATTTATTCATGCATATTTTACTAATCACATTACATTTAATTTAGCTGACGCTTTTATCCAAAGCGACTTATAATGACCGATTACAGGGACATTCTCCCTGGAGTAACTAAGGGCTAAGTGCCTTACTCAAGGGCACACTAGTGGTGGTGTTCCTGGCGGGATTTGAACTCACAGCCTTCCGATCTTCAGCCCACCTAACTATCCATTAGACCAATCACTACCCTCTCAAATGGAAATATGTGTTTACATAAATGGTGACCACACCGTTTGAGACCCACTGAGAACTTAGACTAAGTTAACTATCTAAACACTCAGAGAGTCCTTTACCTCACCTGAGCTGAGGTTATCCCGAGCTTGAATGACACACAGAGACCAATCAAGGGCTTTGATTTATGATCTGTATGACAGTGGCCATGTCGGCAGGCCACATCATGTGGACAGCCAGTCACCCTGTGTGAGGCAGGCCACTTAACAGGCCAGAAGGAGGCGAGATCAGAGCAAGGGAGCGAGGGATCATTGTCCACAAGTTAATCGATCGCAGATGGCGTCGTGGTCACGGACGAATAAAACAAAAAATGATATAAAAAAACCAAAAAAAAAACCTAAATGGGTCGCGAAATATACTTGGGCGGCCGTTAATATACCTGGGCGGCCCGCCCAAGTATAGTCTATGTGTGGGAAACCCTGGACGTACTTAAGCACCCAAAACAGTAAGTAGCCTACACTAAGTACTGAAGTGCGTGATATGACACACATCATAAGTATCTCTGCAGCCATGGATGCTAGCAGCTTTGTTAGGTGGATTTATACACGCAATTCTTTGAGCTAAATGCTAGTATCATGCTTACAACGACAATGCTAACATGTTGATATCTAGCAGGTAATGAATGAATGAATGAATGAGTGAAAACTTTATTACAGACTCAGGGTCCAGATAAAAGACAAGACAATGTTAAACAGGTTCACCATCTTAATGGGATTAAATCCTCTTTTACAAGTGCACTAGACAAGACAGGGTCGACATACCAGGACGACCTGCAACAATAGGTTGAAATGATAATGCCATTGAAAATGGCATAATTTCCCACAGGGACCTTTACATGTTCACAGACTCTTACGTCTCTTTTTTTTTTTTTTAATGAAGACACACTCACATGACCAAGATCTTTATCAATCAGTTGACAGATTCTGTTTTCCATTGCCCTGTTTTTTCCACAGAAACTGCAGAACTATAGTACCCATTCATCTACAGTATATTGTACCTATACATTACAGTTTTGCAAAATTGTATTGTCAATACAATTGAATGTTGTATTTGCAGAATCATCCATAATCAACATTTGGCAATAGTGTTTTTATTTTCCTGTACACAAACTTCCCAAGAAAGTAATGTTAATGCCAAAATGACACAATAGATCACAAATGTGGTCTTTAAAATTAATTTGTTCTCACTTATCTGGATTGTAAACTTCCATTTTAACGTGCACGCAACCAACGCAGCAGTAACGTTTCTTTTTAACTGCATTTGAGGTTCAGACTTTAGTATTTTTATTTGACAGTTGTGTTGATGTGGTTTGAAGTGTGAGAATATACAGGCACACGGATTCAGATGCACAATCATGCTTAAAATCCCAGGGTTCCTCCAGGTATATTTTTCTAGGAAAGGTGATTAGATTTTTATCAGAATTCCTCGTATTCATCCATGTTTGAATGCAAACTGTAGAGTTACAAAAACAATGTTTTTAAGATGCATTTTTGGCAGTAGCTCTACAAGTATTTTCTAAATTAAATGTTAACCCTTTGAGTGTGATACAATGTTCACAATCCATTTGAAAAGAAGATTCTTGGAATCAGAAGCAGAGATGTAACAACATTCTAATCACAGTCCTCCTTCTCACCTCCTCTGCACACTCCGTGGAGCAGCTCCACCAGTGGCTGGCCGCCGCCTATCAGTCCCCTCATCACCCCTCTGTTCCTGCTGCAGTCAGATGATCACGCATGCGACAATAACGTGCCAGCGTATGCGGGCATTTTTTGTCAGTTCAGAGTGTTGGCACGCTCAGCAAGATGTGTGATGTCACAGAAGCGGGGCAGGAGATCTGATGTGACTGAGCCAAGCAGCTACAGAACACATAGCATGACTACAGTCCAGAAAACAATCAATCAGATAGTGTGACTAAGCCATAAAGAAGCTGTTTTCCCCATCGCGCGTCGTTAAGAGTAGCCTACATCAAACTCCCTGAAAGAAAAGAGCAAACTAGATTAGTTTGTGCTTTTAATCTTCAAATTAAGTTGTACCCTTACAAACACATCAAGTAAAGATTTTTCTCTTTGTTCATGTTTTGATCTTACAACTAAATAGTGCCAATGCTTTCAGGATCTCATGCGGGACGCATTTCCAAAATAACTATATACGAAACATTTACTTCTATATTTGATTTTAACATTTTCTAATCCTGTCTGCGAATTCTGGTAAACATGAGAGCAACATAAAGACCCACAATGTCTATTGGCAACACCCTTTGGTGCAGTGTGTATTGGTAAACCTGGATGTGTCCATCCACACTGGCTTTTATACCAACTCATGACAGATATGGACAAATTGTACTGATACAAAGATAATTCCTCGATTTATAAAGTTAAGTTATTTCTAGTTTACTGTGTACAAGACCGTGTCGGATGAAAAACAAAAAAAATCCTATAAGAGCACAAATGACTCATTTGCACATACTGGAAGTTTTTATCAGCTATGAAACGATTTGTGGAATGCATGCATTTGCACAATATCTTACACTTAAAATATACCCTTTGTGTTGCAGTGAAGCAGTTTCTTTGTCATTTAGTGTTTACTATGGAGTGTTTATCATCTAGAGTGCATGAGGGGGAGGGGTTTTGGACACAGCTTTGAGCCACAAATGTAGTCTGTGTCGTCTGACTTATGTAACAAATAGTTCCATGGTCTTGTTCTAGCTGTAATATCGTTTTGTGTTTGGTATCAGACAACTTGGCAAGACACTGATATCAGCGGTCTAATCCAGGAAATGTAGACTCATGAGATAAACTAACTGGTGCCTATCATCCTTTTTTTTTTAACCATGAAAGAGCTTCACTTTATTTTTTGTAATTGCCTAATGTTTACTTGTGTCACTGATTGTGTTCATACACAGAAAAAGTGTTGTGGAAAGAGAAAAACTAAATCAGACTCCAGATGTAAAACAGACATAATCATAATGATGCAATAATGTAAAAAAAACGCACACATTCTGTAAGCTGCACATAGGTGCGTGACAATGTCTTACACTTGATTAAATGAGCTGTGCTCTCGGATCAGATAAGCCTTATCAGATCTGTGCTGCAGTCGTTCTGTATAAACATCCAAGATAATCTGTGTGTGTGTTTGTGTGTCTCACATACAAGTGTGTTATGTGGTTGTATGTTTATATAGGACAGATCTCAGAACAGGAGCTCAGGTTTAAACCCAATCAGGGCAGTACATTTGAGCTGGCAGCGTGCCGCGGGCCCACTGGGCCTGTGATTGACAGGCGCTCCAGACTCACCTGAGCCTGTCCCCCAGGTGTGTTCAAACTGGGCTCCTGCACACAGTGTAGACCAGGTGCATACCTCACATCGCTGTACCCTGTGTGTTTGCGTCAGAAGTCAACGAGCATGTGCTAATCGTGCAGGTATTTGCACAACTTTTTCCCCAAAGGGTAAATATCCTTGAGCTTTTCACTCAAGAGCTCTGCTGAAGATTGATCCAGCAGCAAACTGTTCTGGCTGCACATTGGAATTTTAGATATTTCTGGAGTAAAAACAACACGTCACAAATGTCAAAGGCAACAGCTGAGTGATAAGTTGGGCTTTTAAAAAATTGTCTTTAAAACATATTGCCAGAGGGGTCAAATAATTTACCTTGCTAACAATGCTTTTCAACTTGTTCCAAAGATGTTCAGATCAACTTTCTTGATGTTTGTGCAGGAACCTGGCTTATCCTGTCCTGTTTCAAGAGACAATTTGAAGAACCTTTTCAGGTGAGGAAAATTGCAATGAAAACTGGATGTATCTCCCATGATAATGTTTGCTATTTATAATCAAACATCAACAGACTTGGTTTATGTATGAGACATCTGAATGGGTTCACATCAGCATGTGGATGGCTGTCAGCGATGAAACCTTCAGAGCAGCACTGCCTTGCACTCTCATTTCAACCCCACAAGTTCAAATAATCTGAACTTTGTATCATGGTTTACCTCTGACCTCACAAAGTGTGTCAGTTCTGTTTACAGATGAAGCTAACTCATGGAAAAAAATCTTCTCTGAGTTCTGGAGATGTTAAATATGGTTGATTTGCTTTTATTCAGCACAAATTACAAAGTCTAATAATATTGTATGACGACTCCTTTCTTCAACATTTTGAAGGGGCCCTATTCTGTTCTTTGGGGTCTTTCCTTTTCCTGTATTATGTTATATAGGTTTTTGTGCATGTACATGGTTCATGCCAGAGGAAGTTTCTCTACACTCCCCCCTTCTGCCTTAAATACCTCGATTTGGACTCCTTTGTTTACTTTTGTGACATAATGACATCACTATGTTACACTCACGCTTCTATTGGCTACTGCTCGAACACATTGTACGTGATAGGCTAAGCAGTGGGACAGCGATAAGCGGTTGACCAATCACAACAGAGCCGGAGAGCTAACCAATCAGAACAGACTTTGCTCTCCTAAAAAGATGTGCTGCATCACAGGCAGTCTGAGAAAAATAAAGACCTTTTTGAACATTAAAGCACGTAAACATGTACTCACAGTAGACACACAAAATACAAATATGAACCTGAAAATGAGCATATGTTCTCTTTAAAGGGTAAGGGCCCTGCTTGGCAAAGAACATTAGAAGCAATTATTACATTCTCTGAAATACAAATGAAGGCGCTTCAACCATGGTCAGATTAGGAGGCACTGAGCCCAACTATATATGTACAAAACACGCAGCCTTTGTTGTTATTCTACTTCTTTTTGTCGTAGTTTTAAGTCATTTCTTCTTCTTTTTATTTTGCATCTGTTCCTGCATATGTGTCTTTTTGAGTGAGTTTTCAAGTGAAGGCCTTGACAATTGTGGCCTGTGCCCATTAGGTCCAAACACTCAAACACATCACATTAGATTCAGATTCAGATTCAATTAGTTATTGACTTGTCATTACATACAGGTACTAGTAACGAAACGGAGTTTGGCATCTCACCAGAAGTACAAAATAGCAGTGCAAGTGTCTACATGATATAAATAAATGAATGAATAATTATAAATATGCTATAAACAGATGAAGTATGTACAGTATAAACAGTATTGACAGTATAGTGATAGTATAGACAGTATAAAGATATTAACAGATGTATACAGTGTGGTTATATTACTTATGTACGTATATATGTAATTACAAATAAACAGATTTTAAGATTACATATTACACCTAGATGTATAGAGGTGGGTACTGGGTGTGGGCATGGGGTTATCGGGGGACAGGGTAACAGCCCTAGGGAAGAAGCTGTTCCTGAACCTGCTGGTCTTGGACCAGAGGCTCCTGAAGCGCCTCCCCGAGAGTAAGAGAGCAAACAGATTGTTCGCAGGATGAGAGGTGTCTTTAATGATGTTACGTGCCCTCTGCAGACACCGTATTCCCTGGATGTCCTCGATGGCAGGGAGTGGGACACCGATGATGCATGAGGCGATTTCGTCACCCTCCGCAATGCCTTCCTGTTGAGCATTGAGCAATTCCCATACCAGGCTGTGATACAGCTGGTCAGGATGCTCTCTATGGTGCAGCGGTAAAAGTTCACCAGAATCTGAGGAGAGAGGTGATTTTTCTTTAGTCTCCTCAAGAAGAAGAGAGGCTGGTGAGCCTTCTTTACCAAGCTGGTGGTATTGTTTGACCATGAGAGGTCATCGGATATGTGGACCCCCAGGAACTTGAAACTACAGTAGACACATGTTCCACCGCCGTTCCATTTATGTGGATGGGAGTGTGTGTGTTGCCTTTCGACTTCCTGAAATCCACAATGAGTTATTTTGTTTTTGTTGTTTTGAGGGCCAGGTTATTGTCGGCACACCACTCAGTCAGATGCTGAACCTCCTCCCTGTAGGCCGTCCCATCGTTGTTGTTGATGAGGCCGATCACCGTTGTGTCGTCTGCATACTTGATGATGGTGTTTGAACCATGTACAGGTGCAGTCGTGGTTGAAGATGGAGTAGAGGAGGGGGCTCAGCACACAGCCTTGTGGGACGCCGGTATTTAGGCTGAGGGTCATGGAGGTGTGATTGTCTAACCTGACATGCTGGGATCTGTTTGTTAGAAAGTCTAGAATCCAATTACAGAGGTGGGCGTTGGTGCCCAGGTCACTGAGTTGTATAATTAGCTTGGAGGGGATGACGGTGTTGCTGATGAACAGCAATCTTGCGTAGGAGTTGATTTTTTGCAGATGTGAGAGGACGGTGTGAAGTGTTGTGGAAACAGCATCTTCCGTGCTCCTATTAGTCCGGTAGGCAATTTGATGGGGGTCCAGTGTCGGTTGTAGGCGGGATTTAAGCTGTGCTAGGACAAACTTCTCGAAGCACTTCATGAGAATAGGTGCAAGTGCAACGGGACGGAAGTCATTCAGGCCTGCTGCAGCGGAGTGTTTGGGCACTGGCACTATTGCGGTGGTTTTAAAGCACGTGGGGACAACAGTTTGGGCCAGGGACAGTGAGATGAGATGGCCACAGCCACACAGGGTAAACCAACTACACTGCACCCTCACCTTCAGTAGATTTGCTTCAGTGCAGCTGCAATAAAACATGCCAATTAACACCACACATTTACTTTAAATGGTAAACTCTTTATTTTATTGTATTATGACATTACTTCAAACATTTTAGCACAGCTAACACAAGTATTTGTTTGTATTTATTACTTTCTTTGTCTCTTGAGTTACCATGTCCATTGGGGGAGGTTACTTCCTGGTTCAGCAAAGGGCATGGCCGAGCACTGACGACTCATAAATACAGCAAGGAGCCAATTGGGACAGATTGGGACAAACCACCTGCTTCCATGTCAAAGGGGGGATTTGGGTTTTGTCAGTGTCCTTTGTGTATTCTATTACTATGAATTATCCCTTGGTTTCAACTTGGTTTGGCCAAGCCACTATATAGGTTCCTTGGTTTTTCATTGTAGCAGCTCAGTTTGTTGAGTTAACACCTGTTAAGTTGATGCCATGTTTCTTTGAGGTATTTACTGTTGACCTCTTTTATAGGCCTAGTTGTTAGAAATTATTGATTTATGATGGTTTCTTTGGACTTTTGAGTAAATAAAAAACCCAGTTTATTCAAACCACTCCTGTGTCCTGTTGCCTGACTGCTTGGTCCCTGACAGACAGGTTGAAAATGTCCTTCATGACCTCAGTCAGTTGCCCAGCACAGGCCCTAAGAACGCGGCCTGGGATGCCATCGGGTCCAGCAGCCTTGCATGCATTAGTCCTGCTCAGTGTGGTGAATACATCAGAAGGTGGGAGTGTGAGGGGCTGGTGGTATGCAGGGGGGACAGCCTTGGTGGCTGTCTCCTGGTTGTCCATGTCGAAGCGAGCATAGAAGTTATTCAGCTCGTTGAGGAAGGAGACGTCGTTTGACGGGAGAGAGGGGGTGGTTAGTTTGTAGTCAATGATGGCCTGAATGCCCTGCCACATTCTTCGGGGGTCGGAGTTATTGAAGTGCTCCTCAATCCCCAGTTTGTAGCAGTGCTTGGCCTTCCTAATGCCCTTCTTCAGGTTAGCCTTGGATAAACTGTAGTCCCGTTTGTCACCTGATCTGAAAGCGATGTTTCACGCTTTCAGATCAGGTGACAAACAGGCCTACAGTTACCAGCTATTACTGCAGCCAGCCTCACCCTGACGTATGCAGGCCCCTATGCAGGGCCAGACATTCCTGCGTCCTGCCAGAAGAAAGGCCGCGTCTGACGCTGCCGCTCTGAGCAGAGAAGAAGAGTGATGCACGACACAAAGGCTCACCTGCTCTGCTGGTTGATGTTATTGTTTTCTTTTAGGGCAGAGCATGTTTTATTGCCAGCTTTGCCACCCCATGTAAAATGTTCTAGAACCGCCACTATGGGTGTAAACATTTTTTAATATGGGTGTAATGTAGAAAATAGCAATCAATAATTTCTTTATATTTATAAAATATTTATGTGTGTCTGTGGGTATGGTGTTTGTGTACTCAAAGGAAAAACTATCTTATTCTGAATAAGGAAACTGGGTAACACCTGCCAAAATACTGGTTACTTAAATACCAAATTAGTGTGTGTTTGTGTGTCTATTTTGCTGTCTGCCAACATGATAGGCAGATAAGATAAGAAACATCTAAGCGGAGTCACGGCAGTAGAAGGTAGGCGAGTTGCACGCCATGAGCTCCTCTAACCTCAAACATGTTCTTTACTAAAAGTTCTACATGCAACAGAAATGTTTTGTATGCATGCTTCCCCCCTTTACATATATGTGTGTGTGGTAGTGTGTGTGTATGTGGAGTCATGTGGTGTCTAGCATGAGAAACGCAGCAGGGGTTTTGCTCTGTCGCTCTGCAGAGTGACGGAGGGGGATCGAGGGGGGGCCAAGCTGTGATAACAAACTCCATTCACTTCAGAAATAACAACACAGCACTTAGAGTGAACCGCGGGCTCTTTTCCTCTGGGAGCCACTGATCTGCCCGAGCAAAGGACTCAACTCATTTACTGTCATTAGCTGTTACATCACAGGATGGAGCTCCAACTGCAGCGCTTATCTTCTCATTTTGCACACACGGACACTGAAAATGTCAGAGGATTGTTAACTTAAACCTGAAAAAAAGTATTTTTACATCAAAAGAACGCAACTACATCAATGTTCTTGTGTGTCCATTTGTTGGTCCGTTTAAATTGAATGATATCAGTTCTATACTCAAAGTGATCAAAATGTACCTTAAGAGAGAACATATTGAATTGCAAAATATTACGTTTTTTATCAGGCTAGTGTACTCCACTGCAAGGCAAGGCAAGTGTACTTCTATAGCACATTTCAACACAAGGCAATTCAAAGTGCTTTACAAAAATGAAAGACATTAATAGCATTAAGAAACATATTATAAAATGACATTTAAAAACAAAGATACATGAATAAAAGTTACAGTGCAGTGTGAGATACACACATCTGAAATGTTTAGGTCTGACTCTCAATCATTGCTAACTTTTTAGCAGACATAGTTTTCTATCACCTGCCTTTCTTTCCTCTTTCTTGTTTAACTTGTCCTTTAGTTATTTCAACTGTTTCATACTAAACAAACCCCCCTTTGGAAAATTATAATCTGACCCCATGGTACCTTTTAGTTTTCGCCGAAACTATTCCTCTTTTTTATTTTTAAACGCACATAGTTAAGTTTACCTTGTCTTTCTAGGACTTTTTTGGTATCCTCAGTGAACCAGGGTCTTGAAACCAAAATGGATTCCTGTACCCCATGGTACCTTTTTAGTTTTCGCCAAAACCATTCATTTTTTCTTTAAATGCACATTAGTTAAGTTTAAGTTGTCTTTTCTAGGACTTTTTTGTTGTCCTCCGTGAACCAGGGCCTTGAAACCAAAACGGCACACGTAGGGGACTTTAACCTTAATAATTACTTAACACAAGGCAATTCAAAGTGCTTTACAAAAATGAAAGACATTAAGAAAATGGCATTAAAGAGCAAAGATAATACAAGTTACAGTGCAGTTTAAGATATGAATATATCAATTAAAAGCAGCGACAAAAAGAAAAGTCTTTAGTCTGGATTTAAAAGTAGTCAGAGTTGCAGCGGACCTGCAGGTTTCTGGGAGTTTGTTCCAGATATTTGGAGCATAATAACTGAACGCTGCTTCTCCATGTTTAGTTCTGACTCTGGGGACAGAAAGCTGACCAGTCCCTGAAGACCTGAGAGTTCTGGATGGTTCATACTTTAGCAGGAGGTCAGAAATGTATTTTGGGCCTAAACTGCAGTCATTGATGCTGCTAATTATCAGCTTTGATTTGGATCAGACCAGTTGCTTTTCATTAAAAAAATGTAACAACAGTTTGAACATGACAAATATAATATTTAATCTATACTGATCTCTTTTAATTCAAATTTAGTCAAAAAGCATCACAAGTGGTTTAAATGACTTGACTTGTATTTCACCCGGTAGTAACTATACTTCGCACAATGACCTTAACACCAGTGGTTCCCAAAGTGTGTGAATTCTGAGGAACCTTAAAGGGGTCATATTATACATTTTCAGGTTTCATCCACTACTGTGACATGTTTCCATGCTTTAATGTTCAAAAAGGTCTTGCTTTGCCCTCATACCGCCTGTGCTGCAGGTTAACTGGCTGGCTCTGTTGTGATTGGTCAACACTTGTAAAAGTCAGCCGAATTAGTGTTGATACTGCAAGGAGACGTATTGTGTGAAAAGAAATGTAAAATGTTGTTTAATTGCTGAAATATTTATGATCCACGTCACGTATTCAGTTTTGGCAGCAATTCTTCATTTTGTCCAGAAGTCTTCTCATCAGGGCTCTATAAATAGAGAACTACGGCAGATGTGTAATATTTAATGCAGCCGAACCGTGTATTACAATGCCGTTATGTGATGACCTTCAAAGAGAAAAGCAAGCACACTCGGAATAAAGTATTATTTTATTTAAAAAAAATGTTTTCGGATTTCACATTGCATAAACACAATTTCCCAACGTGCATTGGATGCTAAACCATCCAATCACCGAGCTGAGGATCTTGCCTACGTCTGTTTCTGGTATTTGTTTATGACGATGTGATGTGAGATGTGGGACTGGGTTGGAGAATTGCACAGGGGAAAATAACGTACCTATGCCACAATTTTAGATGCGGATTTTGTTAAACTAATACGTTTGCGCTGTGGACCAACACTATACATTGACGGGGAAGGGGGTAGCAATAAAGATAACACCATTAAACAGTTACACAACATAACAGAAATAATATTGATAGCAGCGTCCCTAGCAACCACCTTGGTAACAATGAAAACGTTGTATGGACACAATTTCCTGAAGTAATCTTCATAATAACTAGCAAACTAAAGATCATGTACATCCACTGCACACATAATCTGAAATAACAACTCATATTTCTCGCATCAAATGACATCAAAACGCATTTTAATGGCCAAACTAGCCTTAAAATAGGCATTTTACACCGAGAATAAAACATGGTCGGCCATGTTTTTTTTTTTCTGCAGGGAGAAATGTGAAGATCACGTGCCATTGGAAATGAATGGTGAAAAAAAATGTAGGGATCTTACAATTTCAGAGGCGTTTTTGTAGAAATACTACGTCCTAAGTTGTGGACCAACGTAGTTATTACACGTTTAGATGTGAGACTGGGTTGGAGGCCTCCATCTTCCTGCAGCTCAAACCCTGCTCTGGTTATGTCAACACCAAACACTGGAAGACATGCTAATGCAGTCACTACACCATGAACAGAGTGTACAGTGGTGTTAGTGCCAACATGTGGAATTGTGTACTTCATATGGAGAAATAGCAGGTACACCTAGTGCTGGCTTAAAGGAAGGGATTCCAAACTCACATCTCTGATTCAACCTTTTTATAAATATCTTTGTAATTCAATATTTGTGAATTTTGTTGCCTTCTTTATTAACCCGGTGTTTCTATATATATACTGTATTGAACTGATCACTATTTAAAGGTTTTACAAACTGGTTCACTGTGCATGACGGACGTTAAAGACCTTGTCTGGTGAGCTATAAATACAGGAAGCAATAAGACATGCAGCGTCTCGACATTTTTGTAGGATAGCTGGTTAGCTATAACAGATGTTTGTCTATTCGTCAATTCCGTCGACACCTACAAAGCGGCTGTAAAGCAGGGTTTAAATGTTAAGTTGTGGGGTTTTTTTAAGAGTCACTCTCCAAATTGTGTCCACTTCTTCTCACTTAAACATCATTTATTATTTTGACTTCCCTCCCTACTTGTTTTTCTCTTTCCCTTTCTGCATTTTAACCAGTGGAAATAATGACGTTTGTTTTACAGAGCAAACACGCACATCAGTCAGGGGTTATCATGGGTCATCTTCAGGTCAGAGGTCAGCAGCCTGTCCGAGTGCAGTCAGAAGAGCAATGTATCTGTCAGGGTAATTGTGACAGAAGATTAGCCTCTCAGAGACCTTTAAACCTGACTGTGATTGCGTTTAAAGTTTCAATGCTGTCAACACGAAAAATGTCTGATAAATGACATTGACAAGTTATTTGTACCTGTTCAATAAGAGTGTGTTTCTTATTTAAACATAATTCAATATGTTGGCCAGTTTAACAGTTATGTACACAAGCAATCACTGATATAAGCAACTTTTTACCCCATAAGTAAACATCTACCAGTTACTTTTATTGGAAGTAACAGCTGGTAAAAAAGATTGTGGTTATTTTTTAAAATATTTGGATACGGATTTTGTATCCCCTGTTCTGAACACCCCAAAAAAGCCCTGACCTATTACACCCAATTGGATACATTTAGATTTTTCAAGCAAAATGTTGTGTTATTTTTGCTTATTAAAAGAATAAATGAATGATAACAACATTTAAAGTAACGTGTATGTTTTGAGGAATTTGAATGTGACTTGAATTGATTTGTTTGCTATTATCGCACGGAAATGTGATCGAATTGGCCTATTCATGGTTCACAGTGGACCCACATTTTCTGGAAGCCACCCACTGTGAGCTCCGAGCACTATATTTTATACAGTCTTATGTTTGAGGTACATAACGTTAGTTTTGTTTTAACACTATAACTAAATGTGTTAAATCAAAACCTCTCTTCTGTGTACATACATGTCTCTGTGTATTTCTAATTATTATTATTTTTTGTTGCAGAAGGTTACATGCCAAATTCATCAGGTCCTGAGAGAGTTTTGCCTCACATTCCTTTAAAAGAGCCTCTGAACGGAAGGAGGGAGTTAATAGCTCAGGTGAGTAGGAGTGTGGTATGTGTGTATCATGTGTCTTTTAATATGCAAACTATCAAACAATCATTCAGTTGTCGCTTAATCCACAGCCTAAATGACTACCTTCTCCTGTATTTCTTTTAAATAATGATTTTTATACCATTTTCATACTTAACAGCTGCATATTTGAAGGGTCGGTAATACCGTAATTTGGGTCACAAAATGTCTTTTAAATCATCACTTTTCCTTAAAAAAAAATGTTAATAGCAAAGCTTTGTGCTAAGCATCTGAAACACTTAAATATTATGGTAGTGGATTAAGGAATGACAACATAAATTATTGCTCTGAGACTCACATCCTCATCATTATACTACACACTTGAACCACACCACACCTCAATCACCACATTAAATAAAGGGTACACCCCTTCCTTCATTACCACTGATATAGTGCTGCAGGAAGGAGCCTTAAAACCCTGAATACTATCTAGCATGTTTGCGCTTCTTGTTCTCTTGTCTTGAAGTTAATGGGTGTTTTGAATGACTTTAAATGCAATGTATAAACTCTGGGATTAACACAAGCTTTTAAGGTGTTATTTTGCATACATGAAATACATCCCTGCAGCGCTCTTTTGGAAATAACTAATTCCGCATAATCGCCCAAAATGAATGTCAGCATGATGTAAACAGTGATATTGTTGAGGTCATCTGTTGACATTGTTGAACCTTTGTGCTTTTTACTCATGGCAATTGCATACAACAACAACAAAAGTCAAGATAATACTGCTGAATTTAACGTTTCCCTAAAATTTACTTTTGCGTAAGAGCTTAATCTTGCAATAATCCAGAATCCCATTGGCTGTTTTCCAAGGGGAACTAGTTCAACGTTGCCTTCTGGGTTAGTGTACAAAAACACATCATCCTCTCAGTCAGAGGTGGAAGACGTACTCTGATATTGTACTTAAGTAAAAGTAGAAGGACCAAAGTTTAGGAATACAATGTTACAAGTAAAAGTACTGCATAGAAAAATGTTACTCAAGTAAAAGCAGAAAAGTATTAGCATCAAAATATATTAATAATAAATGATATGTTCTGATTGTAATTATTGATCATTAATGTGTTTCTCAAAGCTGGTAAAGGTGCAGCTAGTTTGAATGACTGTATGCTGCAGGGTAGCTTGTGAATTTACTCCAGGTGGAACTAAAGTCTGATTTAAGAGTTGATATTTCATGGATTAATCCATTAATCCAAATCTGCAAAGTAAAGGTACAAAATATATCTAGTGGAGTAAAAGTACACAATTTACCTCTGAATTGTAGTGGGGTACATGTACAAAGTAGCACAAAATGGAAATTCCCAATTATACGTATCTCAAAATTGTACTTAAGCACCGTACTTGAGAGTAAATATACTTAGTTACTTCCCACCTCTGCTCTTAGTACATCATTTGAAAATAATAGATTCTGCAGAATCACCTGACATGAACGTGAGCTTGGTGTAAACGCTGATATTTTGAGGTCATCTGTTAACATTGTTGAAGCTCATTGGTTCCTCATAACCTACCAGGCTGTAGTCAATCACCTGGCAGGGTCATTCATGGGACAAGGGTAAAGGCCAAAGGTCAGCGATGTTCGTTAGCCTGACCGGCCGCCGGCACACTCCGTTACCCAGGGAACCACAGTGACCTAAATGAACCTTGACTGCTCACTGGAAGATGATAAACTTGTAGGCAACATCTAAACAAGCCCTCTGATACATGCACTTTAAAGTCCACACACACAAAGACTTGGCAGGTCTGTGTCAGCTCTTCGGAGGTTGTTCACCATAACCTCCTTGTGTCTCAGTAAACAGTGTTTTGAACTGAGAGTATGAAAGAAGAAGTTTATGCTCTTGCCGCTTGTTCTTTTAAGCCCAACACTTTCAATACATATTTATCCAACAGCAAAAGAAACACACCGAAACAGCCGTATGCACACACACACAATGTGGATACACACTCTAGGAGAGGCTTGAAATGTGCACAGATTACCTCTCATCTCTGTCAATGGAAGGTTTTCCCCTCTGATTTCGGGACCTTTTTTTGGAGCTTTTAAGTAAACTAATCTTTGAGCAAATACCACAGGCTGTTTCTGAAGTCTGCACACAATGGCAGGTCTTAATATATGTGAATAAGAGCAAACAGACTCAACAAGAGACCTCGCTGGAAGTTTGGGATCAAAGCTTCGGGGCACAAAGGCAGAGATTTAGCATGTTAGAGCGATCGTCACTCTTTCACAGCCAAGTATTGTCTCTGTGTTTCTCTCCCCAAGTTCTTTGAATTCCTACTCAGTGTAAAACGCTTATTGTTATTTGTGGGTTTTACCGCCACAAACCGTGTTCTTAAACATCTCTACTCTGCCTTTCAGACTCCCCTCTATTGAAGAAGAGATTATAAAAAAGAAGAAGGGGGGGAAAAAGAGCCGGGAACATCAAACAGACTAACATTGTGGGTTCATGTTTTGCTGTTCAGTTATTGTTGCTTGTTGACCAGGATGTCGTGAATCCCAGCGGCTTGCAAGCACCTCTTTTCTGTGGTTGTGTTTAAAGTGGTTGTTGGTTGCAGTTGCCATGTATAATAGGCGTGTTTCCAGGTGTATTTGTACACCATGCTGAGTTTCTGTGTGCATAAGCAAGTTCTCTCCCCATCCCAGCTTCGTTTTTTGTCGTAAAAAACGTTTGATGATTTTGGCCTGGGTGATCCCTCATCATAGATGCAGAGTTAAGAGATTGCACAACACAGAGTTTCAATTATTTTCGTTTCCAAGGCAGCAGCCCTGAAGTTATCACCTCCCACACTTACACTTAAACAAACAGGTTTCATTGTTGCAAGGGCCGATCTGTGCGAGCCCTGCGGTTAATTTGATTAAGTTCAATTCATTAGACCCTATTACACATTGCTTCCATCTGATTGTTTCTGATAAACGCCCGCGCTGCAGATTGTCCGTTCATTTATCTTCAGAAATCTCTCCATCAATCTCCCTGTCACAGCGTGTGGGAGGATTAAACCATGGTGGTGTTTGCACAGCGCACCTGTAAAAAGCATGTTACACATTACTGGTGTGAGTTTGTGTGGAGTTTATTTGAGTCATGGACTTTTAGGTTTGATCCTAATTGCACATGATCAACATGAGTGTTGTTTCAGTAAATCGTAACTCATTCTTATGTAGACATCTTATTTTACACGGAAAGTTCAAATGGGTTCATTTTTTCTTCGGACAAGACATTGTTTAAAACAATAAAAAAACAACACAATATCGGAAAATAATTATAGGGTTGTTTATGTGCATCCATTATAGACCATTATTTCCAACATTTTTCAAAAAAGAAGCACATGAGTGCCTAATCATGACCGAAAAATAAGTGGCAGACAGCTTGTAGGCCGTACACCTACAGAATCTGACATGATGGGTTTTTGCATTTAGGAATGCATTGTTGTCTTTGTTCTTTGAAATGTCAGCACTGTTAATAGCGTGAGAAAATGGTCAACGGCAATTTGCATGTCAAAGATGAACTCAGTCAAAAATGTTGCTCTAAATAGTGTGGGACAAAGACCTCGGGAGGGCTGTGTTACATGTTGAGGGTCAAGCAGGTTCCATCTCAATTTACTTTGTGCTAAGTTTTATAGAATGTGCAAAATATTGGCCAAAATGGTCTGAACATATTTGGTAGGCCTGTTGGTCTACTCTACTGTCACTGACTCAGGGACTTTTTTACTTACATTTTAAGAACTTGTATAAATGTTTGTGTAAAGTTTACACTAAATTGAATAGTTTAAAAGTGAAACTTCTTACCTTTCCAACTATATATTGGTTTTCCTTTTACTTTAGCTTAGCTTTTAAAATAGTCGTAACAATGAAACTACTAGTACATGGTGAATAAGTCGGCCAGATGTTTCTGACTCACAGTGGCAGAGCACAGTGACATTATACGTTTGTATAGCCTTTCAATTACTTTACAATATTTCAAAGCACCGTTACAGACTTTTTCTTACTGTTGAAAAATCCCAAAACCAACATGAATAGATTCTACTGACAAGTATTGTTTGGGCGAAATATCAAAAACTCATCAGTTATGTGCACTTACTACCATGAAAACACACAAACTGTAGTTTGTTTTTAATGAATACCAGGTTCACTGTCCTGCTGCAGCAAATATTCACGATAACAAATGTTTGTTTATCAGCAGCTGAAAATAGTGCCCTACTAATTCACTATCTTCTGCTGTTTTAATAACGTTTGTTAAAAAGTGGTAAGGACGTGTTTTTTGAAGATGTATTTTTTATAGAGAATGAATAGGCATTGGACTAAGAACCACCTATTTTAAAGTCTAAAAGTAGCCAGCTAACTATAAAGACACACTAGGAAGAAAATTAAAACTGGGGCTTTCCATAGACAGGGCATGGCAGCTCTGGTGTGTTTTTAAGATGAACAGACACATACTTGGTTTACAAGATTAATGAACATAAAATATGGCCTGCCTTATCCTACAACATGTAGCTAGTACCTGCTACCGTACATACTGGAATTCTAACTTTTTGGAGCTGAAACCCAGTCATCTAGGATTCTTTTGTGAGAAAAAAGTGAAATTGTTTACTGGAAATGGTTCCTCTCCTCTCTTTTGATAAATTATCTTTATTTGTTAATCTTCTTTTTAATTGTTTTGTTGTTACAGTCCTTCAAACACTAATCAATGTTGTGCTTCACTTATCAACAGATTCTCCGGAGCCCTTTCTTCTTCTTCAGATGGGATTAGTGAACTATTTTAACAAATAAGATTGACAAACTTGCCACTCCTGCACATCTCCATACTGGGCTTTTAAGATGTGTTTTGCCACCACCTGCATCTCTTACATTTCACCACTTTCATCAGAGCTCGTCCAAGCCGATGGTTCTTCCTGGCACATGATGATTTGTTGTTCTTGAAAAGGTCAGGCTAAAAGATGCAGAGCAAAGTAAGATGAGGCTGTGATTGTTGCCGCATGCCAGAGGAGGTTATGAACTGCGTACAGATTCACCTGTCTGTTGTCATGTGAGTGTTCCCGTGTGTTATATTACTGCTTCTCAAAAAACACACTGCCAGTGCAACAGAAACTGATAGAACTTTTGAACTTTCCCTAAAATCTGTTTGACATATTCAAATACATTTAGCTACATTTTGACCCGAAGGAACCTGGGTCAAATTGTACTTACTATGCCGCAGTTCAGGCATCTTTTTTTCTGCTTTCTCATTTATTAAGCATTCAATATAGATACATAAAACAGAACTATAATACATCTGAGGGAAAAATAGAAAAACAGTTGAGGTAATGTGGACATATATACCTGCATTCCTATCGCTGTCAGATTGGCAGTTAGATGGAGTGGCAGTTGTAGTATATAATTATACAGGCGTGTAGTTACTAAATATAACTCGTGTGACGGCTTTCTGCAGGCGTTGTGTGAACATATGTGTTTTTATTATTGTACATGTCTGTATGTACGTTTATGATTGATTTCAAAACGAATTTCTTTGGTTTTGTCTTCAGAGCCAAGCATTACATGATTGTATTAAGAGTTTTGAGCATTTTGTCTTATACAAACGTTTCATTTCCATTTTACTGTAATCGCAGACATTGTACTAGAACAGCAACATAGTCCTTTGGGACAGACAATGCATGTGGTCGAACAGGTTTAACTGTATTATCAGTTATATGTAAATGTAAACAAAACGGAATGTACGAAACAGTTATCTGTAATTTATAAACATCTGATGTCAACGAGTTCAACTTTACCTACAGTAGCAGTAACAAAGAAGTACAGTGTGATTCAATTAGAGCATTATAATTCTACACAGTCAAAAACTGATCCAGGTATACTTAACCTACCAAAATCCAAAATGCTTTGCATTTTCAACAAAGAGACCAGAAGGACAGAGATTGTTGACCTAATAGACTTGTCTCCTTGGTCAGGGTGTATACAGTAAAAAATGTTTGGATAAATTCCCTGTCATTTTCTCTTTAAAACACTTTTTCTCCGATTGTCTGGTCACTCAGTTGAGTCATATCATATCTTGACTAAAATAACAATGCACAGTATTTCTGTTATATAACTCAAATAAAAATGTTTGTAATTCAAGCTGCACTTGGTATGGCTGTGGATAGTCATTAATTGCCACAATTACAATTATCAGGCGCCGATAGCATCATGAATTGTGTGTCATTCCCAACTAAACACACATATATTTGTACATTGTAGCTGAGGCCAATCTCCTCTTTATTTTTATATATGTGCCTCAGCAACAACAAGACATAGGGTATAGGGTTTTTTTTCAGACCGTAAACTACACAGCATTTCATCAAACATCCGTTTTTAAAATGTAACCGGGACAGACATTTGTTTTTAGGTAAGAGTGTAACGGTCTGTTAGTGCTGCTTGTGTTTTTCAAAAGCATACCTTCAGACTTTAAAAGACAATGGGCATGATTTCAAGCAGTTGCCGGATACCTCTTGTGAAGACGCTTATTTTCAATGTAACTGTGTGTGGCTGGCTATTGGCACAGATCTGTGTGAATTGCAAAATGTTTGCATTAAGGCTCAATTTCATAGAAAGGGGACAATTGTGCACCTACTTTGTCCATATGACCTAATTTACATAAGTGCAAATAACACAGGAGCACAGAGACGCTATTACTTTGTGTTAATTGTGCAGGTTTAGGGTCCACAAAAGCTGTGCAATCATTATGTCAATTAACTTCTGAAATAAACGTTTATTGAATCAGCTACATGCACGACATTTAAATGAATTTACGGCCCTGTGCAACCATGGTGTTTGTTTGTATCTGTTTATGTTTTACCTCTCATGAATAGCTACTGCTTAATTTGCCTGAACGTTAATTTGCCTGCCTGTGGCTGCAGGTTGCCACCTCTAAACGGCATGTTGCCCTCTGTTTGCACCTGAGCTGCCAGGTTACATCAGACAGACAGGCAGACAAACACACACACGCACTCACACACACTCACATTAGAAAGAGAGCACCTCGGCTGGCATTTCGATGATGGGTCAAAGCATGCCTGTGTTTTATATCTTGCCCGTTTATTTTCCACAGAAGAATCAGAGTTCACCCTGATCCAGAGGGAGAACTCTCCCAGGGGTTCACAAAGGGTTCGCTAGCCTACCACTGTTTGTGTAAGCATGCGTGTGTGTATGCGTGAGTGTGTGTTTGCGCGTATAAACAGGTGAGCCACAGGGTGATTATGCTGTCAACTGCTGCTGAGTCATGTGCATCTCCACCAACTTAATTAGAAGTGGCAGAGCATACCTGGCTTTTCACACACACACATACGGAGCCTCGTACAACACTCAACACCTTGATAGAATTTGTCATCCGAGGTGCATGTACACATACACCTGCAGCGCTTGGGTGTTACTGTTTCCAAGGAAAGCCCCATGGTTTGTCATCCAAACAGATTTCTGGTTAAATCATGAGAAAATGCTGTAGTGCTGCAGGGATGGCGTGTCTTTGTAGTCCCGGCAGTGAACAAAAGGATTTTTCCATTGGATTTGTTATAGCTTTAAATAACCTCTGTGGAAACAAACGTTTATGGTGCTTACACATTTTCTCCGACAGGATAAACTCCACATAATAACACCACTTTTACGATTTTTGTAGAGAAAAGGTGATCATTAAAATGAAACAGCTAGCTATAAATTAACTACATTATGGTCATATGATTTCACGTCACCACAGCTAAGCTAAAGGTGGCTAATGTTCAGTGTGATGACGTTTAGTAGGCTCATTAAGTCACTTGTTAGCACTTGACTTTTTTATGACCGTCATGCAAACATGAGAGGCGTATTTACTGATGTATTTTATGTCGTAGAACAAATCGTGAACATTTCTTTAATGTGTCTGAACCTCAGCTTTTTTTTCAGGCATCTAAAACACAATAACTAAAGCCATCAACTTCCAGATTAGCAAACCGAAAGTGCTAAAAAGTGAACTCATCTCTAGGTTTTTGTGGAATTATTCTTTTTTTTCATCATCCCACACACAAAAAAACTATTATCTGTACATTTGTGTTATACTCTCTGACTTTTCTATCATGTCTGTGGCATTCGGCCATAACCCAATTAATCCTTATTAAGATATGAATCTTCACACAATATGAATGTTATATAGCATGCCTTTGTTGAGGACTATTTTAGTCAGTGGATTAATACACAAATCGGTCTGTTGTTGCCCACCTCATATGGTGAGAAACACTTGTCCCCCCTCACATTTCTCTTGACCTGATTTTCCCACTGTATTGAGCAGATGACTGACAGTAGAATCCTCAGGGGACAGTCTCACCGTCACTCTGACAGAACACGTCTGCAGCAGCAGATGACATGAGTCCAATCACTTCTCTTTGTCTCTTTGTCCATGTTCCGTTGTTGGTGATAAGATGACATGGTTTACAGTTAGAAGCTAAGATCTTTCATTGCATATAATCCTTTATGAGAGCTCACAACGCCCTGTGGTCATTTTGACACAGACACCAAGTTACACCTATAAGGTACACACCAAGACAATGGCCATGTATGTCTTCCTTTCATATTGCTCTGTGGACTCTTCAATTGAGGCATGCTCAAAAGTTCAAGGAACTGGTGTATAAGAATAAACAGTGGCTCAAACAAACACAATTACAATGATCTCAATTATACGCAGGTTAGGAGACACCTACACAGCAAATTTCTGGAGTAAAATAATTGGTAGTTAGACAAAAAAGTGTGAAAGGGTTAGATTTTGGGAGTTTATTTCGAATTTAGACTACCGTTTGAGTTAAGGGATACTCTTGGGCGGAGTAATATTTCGGGGTTCATTCACTGGGTGTTCAGGAACGTGACACAACACTACCTTGGTGTGTATTCACAACTTCTCTGCTGCCGCGACCACGAGGCTTCACTTTGACTCCGTCCCGAGGAAGGTAAGTCCTGTTTTACATCTCAAACTATATTTTCTGTCATTGTAAAGTTAATGTGTTTATTTTCGCTAAAACGAACTTAGCAAGTTTAACTAGCTGCTGAATGGAATGCCGTTGAACATGGACATTATTTAGGCTAATGCAAATGAACTTTATAGTATCATATCTGTTTCTTTTGTGTTAGCTTAAAGTTTAGTTTGTTGTTCTTTCAACACCGAAAATGCCTTTTCCTTTGCATTAAACGTTAGACTGAACGGCTACGACGGTACCGGACGAGTCCCGCGAGCTACATTGAGGGAATGTGGACGAGGTGACGTACTTTCCCGGACATTTGTGTTGAGGTAACAGCTAGCTAGTAACACGACAAAGTAAATGGCGTCTTTATAAGTGTAAGGCGCAACAAAGCACGAAATTAGCTCGTTACTTGTATGGTCTTCGACTTTAACTATCTGCATGACGGGAGGAAAGAAAAATAAAGCAAACGTCCCTTTTCGCTGCGCTACACTCAGACTTAATGCAGGAGACGGGAGCAGAAATGGCGGAATAAAGAGGCTGGTTGAACCAACATTTCCCTCCACCGTGGAGACGACGATTGCCCGTTTCAACGGTGAAAAGAAAACGCGGTTGATTTTCAAATAAAAGAGTAGAAAACAGGTCGTTATGGTGCATCTCAGGTGATGTTACAGAGTAATCCAAAACTACTGTTACTAGTAGTGTAACTAATTACTTTCAGCAGTAAATAACGAAGTAAAGTAAGGGATACCTTTTTTTAAAGTAACTGTTAACATCTAACTCATTACTTTTTTCAAATAACTACCACAAAACTGATCTTAATTGCCCAACCTGATGATGTAGGCTCGCGAATAGGCTACCTTAAAATGCTTATGAAATAATATTACCACATGGCTACCCAAGATCATTTTGTTAGTGACAGTCAACATGTTGCTAAAGTAAGAGCTATCTATTTTTTCCTTAGTTGGCCAATATGTTGCTGAAGGTGAGACGTGGAGGGACAAAAAAATATGTCAAACTGGAAGAAGTCCACTTCTAAGACTTCATCAGAGCAGGTAAGTGTTGTCTGTGTTGTTGAATTCATTAAAGGGGTAGTAAAAGTCCTTTATTTAATTAAGTGTCTATTGTTATGCTTCAGTGCAACAGAAGTTTCTCATACCAGAAAACACAATGCTGAAAGTCACCGATGAGCAAGGCATAGAGGTGGATGAGGATGTCTTTCCTGAAGTGGCAACAGTCCAAGACATTTGTTTTGTCATCTACACTGATTATGGTAAGGTGATATTTCTGGGTTTTGTTTTGTTGCAAAAAATGCTATGAGAGATTTGTATTTTCTATGTGTAAAAAACTGATTTTTAATATTCTGTACTAGCCAATAACCAACAGCAATCACATCATTTAGTATTTTCCCTCTCCACAGTAACATCTATGTATCATGTGCATTTCAGACCTCCCACTGGCAGAATCATCCAAAAACATGGATGACTGCTCCAACCTGACAGAATCTGTTGACTGCTCCAACCTGACCGAATGTGTGATACTTACAACATGTGGTAGGTAGGGTTATAGTAAATGTTCATAATGAATAAAAGTTGTTCTAATAAAATAAAAAGTAGCTCATTGGGCAAGTTGGGATCTTCCGGTAAATTGTAGTTTTTGCACATTGCAACTGGCACATATGTGATTTGGTATAATTGGCCATATGGATAATTTATGTTAATTGTGATCCCCAGATCTTACCAACCTGCAGCAACATGGTGAAGGTCCCTTTTCTCCAAGTTGTACAGATACATTGTCTGTCTCAACCTCAAGCGGCCTAAGCAGTGACACAAGTGATGCTGGATGTGAAAGGATTCAACCTATGAGGGAGAGTACCCGAGCAAGAAATGTAATTGTACTTAAATACACTTTACTCTTTACTTTGCCTGAGATGAAAAGCAAGTTTAAACAAATTTGTGTCATGGAATTGAAGAAGCTTTGTTATTGATGATCGATTTGATCAGTAGTTGGTTACACATGATCTATTTTGTTAATTGTTTTTTGTTATTTCATATAAATTGGGTTTAGATGGTGGAGCAGGTTCTAACTTCTAAGCCGGCAGGGTTGACTGTGATCAAAGAGTACGACGATACTGGGAGTCTGAAAGATTCCACCAGGCGATTAATGGTGAACATCATTGTAGCTCACATGTGTGAAAAGGAAGGGTAAGAGCCTTGGCTTTAATGGCATGAATTATTCATTTATAAAGGGAAAAATCTTATTGTAAACCAATTATTTTTCTTTTGCAGGAGAGGTGTAAGTAAAGCGACGAAGGAGTTCCATGCACTTGGGATTGTGTCACTTTTCCCATCTCTTAAGGACCCTTACTCAACAAAAGGATATGTGAGTTTTGCATTGTTGCCATTTTTTTCACATTTAGGTTATTTGGTCTTTTGTGTACAAGCAGCAGCATATTTGCATTAGATCTATGAAAAACCTGATATTGTCTGCATTCTAACCAGAAGCGCTCTTTTCTTTTTAGGAACATTTCTATGACATTCAGAGCAACAAAGGCTTTCTCGAGTGGCGTCTCAAGACTGTGCAACGCCAATCCAAACCCACGTCAACGTCAACATTCCATGACAGAGTGGAGCTACAAGGAGGTCCAACATCATCCAGAAGTTTTGGTTCCATAAACGACCTGCAAACAGGAGACGACTGTATGGAAGCCATGTCTCTTCTTCACCACACCACTGACCATGACCTAGTCTTCCAGAAGATGAGAGAAACTTTCCACTATCGTCAACAGATGATCCATGACCAACAGCAATCTGCCAACATACTTCAAATGTTTCCTCGTTTCTTGGACACTAAGGTACGTAACACATTTTGCATTTTGAATTCCCTCCTTGAAAAATACTTGGTTTACATTAAATGATTGTAATAATAATCTTACTTTCTTTTTTATTAGATTCTGCAAGATTTCTCATTGATGTTCGGAGCCGAAACTGCATCCAGGTTCCTGGAAAGATGGAACAGCGGTTTTAAAGACAAAGTCCTACGAGAGGCCAGGGACCTTAGAGAGACTCCTCTTCTGAAAAATCAGCTGAAATCTGCGCTGTGTATTAAAGCACCTTATCATTGAATACCACCAACTCTTTAAAGAACTGTACCCTTCAAACAACCTGATTCCAAAACATCATTTCATGGTCCATTATCCGAGGTGCATTCGGAAAATTGGACCACTTATTCATATTTGGACTATGAGATTCGAAGCGAAACACACATTTTTCAAAGATTGTGTAAAGAACTTCAAGAATTTGACAGTATTACTTGCGAAAAAACACCAGTTTGCATTAGCTTATCATTGGGAATGCTTGACTTTAAAACCAGTTCAGTCTGGTCCAGTTAAAATGTGTGTACTTGAAACACAAGACTATACAGAAGATATACTGGTTTACTGATTACTGGCTTCCGGTAACTGCTAGAATCCACTTCAAGACACTGGTACTTGCTTACCATGCTGCGAATGGATCTGGCCCTTCCTACATCCAGGACATGGTTAAACCGTACACCCCAGCGCGTGCACTACGCTCTGCATCAGCCAAACGACTCGTTGCGCCCTCGCTGCGAGGGGGACCCAAGTTCCCATCGGCGAAAACACGTGGGTTTGCTGTCCTGGCTCCAAGATGGTGGAATGAGCTCCCCATTGACATCAGGACGGCAGTTAGCTTGCACATCTTCCGGCGCAAACTGAAAACTCATCTCTTTCGACTCCACTTCGAGCGTTAGAACTATTAACGAAGCACTTTTATACTAATAAAGGACTGGCTTACCTAAAGCCAGTTGAGTAGCACTTGAAATGTTTGGCTCTATGAAACCTGATGTACTTATATGATTCTGTTTTCTTCAAGGTTGTGTCTTCCTGGTCGAATGTACTTATTGTAAGTCGCTTTGGATAAAAGCGTCAGCTAAATGCAATGTAATATATCTGCATATCTCAGAATTGATCCACAAGCCACTATCAACCTCACAAGCTGGGTAAAGTGTTGTGGTGTTGAATATCGAGTTGGCCTCTTTGTTTGTACAAGCACCGATGAAAACATGCCGGTGTTCAGCAAAATAACCTGTATCATTCTTCACAATGGAAAAGTTATTTTTGTTTTGGTCGAGTATGAAACGTGTTTCCATGACCATTTTCATGCTTTTCAATTAAGTGAAAAAATCCCCAGGAAGATACTGGTCCTTGAAAAAGAAGGATTAAGACATTTAAAACCTTTTGATTCCCAAATGTCATATGGGTGTGATTCACATTTTTATGTTGTGTCAGAGAGTTGTATTATTTAATTTGCCAGTATTGATTGTTTAATGGAATTTGTCCTTTCCATTTGTTCTTTGTACATGTCTGTATATGTTCTGTAATGCAATGTTTTGTACACTGAACCCGTTTGTCTAATGTTTGCACTTAATGCACTGAGTTTATGCAGCTTGAGGATTTCAACACTCGAATGTAAATTGAATGTTCGCTGTAACATGTTTACACTGTTTGTAAAAGCAACAGCACTTTATAAAATGTCCATCAACAATGGATTTTAAGAGTTTTCAAATAAAAGAAACACATTTGTATGAATCAATACATTGTTTGTAGTCATTTTTATTGATTTTTATTTTAACTCCATGAGTGTTGAATATACACCCTTTCAAGTGTTAACTATTAACACTATTATAGAGTTCACATTCAAATTAACTCTAAAGTGGTAGTTGTATTTAACTGCACTTGGGAGTAGTTTTTGACTCCCACAAGTGTTCAGGTTTAACTCCTGAAAAGGGTTAAACTTTAACTCTGCCGTTGAGTTTATTCGATGGTCTCACATGTACACTCAAATGTAGTTGATTTTAACTCTGAGGGAGTTTATTCAAAAGGCCAGAATTTGCTGTGTAGGTGTCCTTGTTACAATCAAGCAATATTTTAAATGAAATATAATGTTTTTTTAGTGCATTAAAGTATTTGAACATTAAAGCATGTAAACATGTCACAGTAGAGGCACACAATACAAATATGAACCAGAAAATCAGCATAATAGGGCCCTTTAACTAATTACATCTTTAATGTGTCCATTCATTTGATACATTACTATTTCAGAATGTAAACAACATTTTTCTAGACCATTATTTTTCATTCAACATTGCTGTGGTGTTATCATGTTAACAATACCTACAGTATGTTTCTAGACTTTATTTTCCCCTATTCACTGTACAGTATATACAATACTTGGCAGAAAACATTTTAGAGGGTCCAAATGCACCGGTGACTGAATGGTATAATAACCCTGTGCAAATCTATAATGCCTGCATTTCAAATTGTAAACTAAAGCAGGTCGTAGCTCTGTTTCACATTTCACATGTTCAACTACAGGATGCATTTTTCATAACTCCTTGCTTTAGGTTTTCCCTTGGTGTGGATGGAAATACAGAGAACAGTGCACCTAAAATGTAAACAGCAGTTTCTCATTTCTCTGCCCTAATTTCAATGTAAACCAAACCAATCGCTCCCCCTGCTCACGCTCAAACCACCAAACTTGATGGTTTCTTGGTGTTCCTTGCCCCAGGCCACCCATTTGGCACATCTCATAACTTTTGATCCCAGAAGAAAGGAAGGGACAACAAAAAACAGTGCAATATGCTCTCTCTTAATCTTTTTTTTTTTTAAAGTAGGAAGCACAGTGATCAGAGTATTTCTCTTGAATATGCCAGAGGCAAAACAAGAAGGTTAAACTTATTATTACAAACAACTGGTTCTTATGTAGTCATGAGCTGTAACACTCAGTGAGTGCAAGGTCAAACGGTTGTGTAGCTGAATGAACCAATTGAAAAAACTAACATTAACTTGTGTGTTACCAGTATGGCCCTAGTGAAGATTAAAAGATCCTACTCGACACTTGATAAAAATGCTGTTGGATAACAATGTAAAATATATTAAATGATGCAAATACATTTAGAAGAAACTAATCAACCAAATAATATTTTGGCTATATTGGATATATCCTGCTCAGCCTGAATGACATTTGTCTTCAGGTAACCACAAATTAATAGAGTAATGCCAATGACTGACAATAAGAGTGAATTGAACGCACTCATTGCGTTGAAAGTTTGGGATGTTTTCTAGCAACCACTTTCCAGATAACTAAAGTGTTTATGACTGTATGACCGCCCATTCTCAGGAAGGAAATATATTAGAAACAAATGGAGTGATTTTCTTTAAAATTAGCATAACGTTCACTCAAGAATAAAATGATTAAATTGTAGTCTCAAAAGTCAACATGTTTCTGATCATTACTTAAAGGGTCCCTATTGAGCTCATTTTCTGTCTCTACTGAGACATGTTTACATGCTTTAAATGTTCAAAAAGTTCTTGATCTTTCTCATACTGCCAGCACCTCTGTTCACCCTCTGTCTGAAACCAGAGTCTGCTGTGATTGGATAGCTGGTCGGGTGATTAGTCAACCGCATAAAGATGTCCCGCCCCTCAGCTTATCATGTACAATGTGTTGGTGCGCTATCCAATAGAAGTGCGAGTGTTACATCGTGATGTCACTATGTTACGAAAGAAACAAAGGAATTCAATGGAGGTGTTACAGGCAGTGTGTGGGTGAGAAACTCCCTCTTGAGGGGACACAGGGATTTTAGCCTTTGTCGACCATGTACCTGCACAAAAACCTATACCGTACTACAGAAGGAACAAAAACATGATTGGATCTCTGCTTCATATGCTTATTTTGAACATGTTAGGCAAATGGTCAAAAGGACAGATGATGAAGTAAATATATTTTGATCCAACATTGATGTGGATTGCAAGAAGTTGGCGAAGGCATACAAACAGGAAGAAGTAATTCCAGTTAGGCTACTAGCTACATTTCTTAAATAAATAAAAGGTCATAGCTACAAAGAACTTGGATGTATTACTATCTGGGGAAACCCAACCCGGCAGAGCAAGATGGATTTTCTGAACATGCTGTACTCTTTCATCTCACTTTTTAACCTCTGCTTTGATTTTTTCACTCATCTTCAGATAATAGGCTCCAAAGCTCTCTGGGGACGGCGTACAGTCTAAAATGGATGTGCGACACTCGGTCGGCATGACCCACTTCACACGGCAACACAATTCAGACAAGGCTGTAGCCTGTCGTATAAACTGCCACATCACAGCTTGTAATGCAACATACTGTACTGCATTTTCTGTGAATGAATCCAGGGACTTTTTTTCTTGTGTGTGTGTGAAAACAACAGTATTATAAACTCATGCTTGTGTTGAAAGCTGACGACTGTTAACTGTAAATCCGGAGCAGATACGACACAGGCAATCCTTAACAATCTTTATTATTCATTAACCTTTAGCATTATCCTATTTGCACAGATACCAAGAGATCAATACACGATGAGAATCCATGCTCTTGTAAAAATGATAAAATACTCTTTTGCTGCAGTGACATTCGGTGATATTTGATCACCAAAGCTCTAAAACAAACTGTCCCTGGATTACACAGCTATAAAGCAATCAGCGGGAGATATGAGGTGCATTATCAGCCTATTGAGCAATTCTTCCCCTCAGCAGGTGTGTTGCCACTGTGTTGGCCCGAGCCTGCAGGTCATCTGTTACTTTGTCAACACTGATAGTACTCGCACAAGGCCGAACGCTCCCCTGCGCTTGTTAAACAATCTATAAAGGGAGCCAGGCAGCAGCGGATGGACACAGTAAAGACATGGCACATACATACACAGCCAGGGCCGCCCTCTCCCTACAGGCCGATCACGAAGACAGCGTGGGGCCTCACCTCGCGGAGGGGGCCTCATCTTGTGGAGGGGGCCTCATCTTGCGGAGGGGGTCTCATCTTGCGGAGGGGGTCTCATCTTGCAGAGGGGGCCTCATCTTGTGGAGGGGGCCTCATCTTGCAGAGGGGGCCTCATCTTGCAGAGGGGGCCTCATCTTGCAGAGGGGGCCTCATCTTGCGGAGAGTTCTTCATTTTGCGGAGGGAGCCTCATCCGTCGACGCTCGTGACACAGAGGGCCTCATCATTTAACTTTGCGTGGGGCCACAAGTTGGCCAGGGGCGGCCCTGTACACAGCTACTGGCTCTGTTACGCTCATAATCAAGCTAGTATTGATTTATATCGAGGATAACTGGCGATATTCTAATAATACTGTAACAAGCAGCAGAAAGGTTCTTTATGTGTAGGTTTTCACCATCATTTCCCATAACTGACTTAAAAGGTAAAATATCTGAACACCAGACTGTAAAATCAAACAAACATTTTGACAAATTTGCCAAACCCTTACCCTAACCCTATAAGCGTATTTCACGGTAACATTACATCATTATTATTTTATGGACAAGGTTTTAGATCCAAGACAAGTACAAAATGAGATAACTTATATAACATGTTTGGCAGTAAAACAATCATGTAGACTCTGTGGTCATCATATGTGGCAACATGATTGATTATATAAATAGATGATAAATGGCTTTTTATAATGACTGTCTGTAAATGAGTTAGCTTAAGGCCACACATGACAAAG